ACCTATTGATGGAAATAACACTCTCGTCGACTGAATTCTCGGGTATTGATCTCCTTCCAGGAGGTCCACTTATCGACTTAGAATACGCAGATGACATAGTTCTGTCTGGTGAAGACGCTGATAAAATGCAGAGTCTTCTGGTAGCACTAAGCAACAATGCCAGAATGTTTGGAATGCGCTTCTCTCCCTCTAAATGCAAGTTGTTGCTTCAGGACTGGTCTGCGTCAACACCTGAACTAAGGATAGGGAGTAAAGTAGTCGAACGTGTTGACAATTTCACTTATCTTGGAAGTCTGATCAGCCCTAATGGGTTGGTGTCTGACGAAATCTCAGCACGGATTCGAAAAGCTCGCTTGGCTTTTGCCAACTTACGTCACCTTTGGCGAAGGCGAGATATCCGTCCATCAATAAAAAGACGAGTATACTGCGCAACAGTCCATCCTGTTTTACTTTACGGCAGCGAAACATGGCCTTTAAGAGTAGAAGACACTCGTAAGCTACTAGTATTTGACCTCAGATATAGTGCTGGCGTCTTCTAAGATCACCGGATAGGTAATAGCGAGGTTAGACGCAGGGTATTAGGGAAGGATGACAAATCAGTCGATGAGGTTGTGAATCTTCATCGACTGAGATGTTTGGGCCACGTTTTACGTATGCCTGAACACCGATTACTACGACTTGTAATGCTGATTAGTTGGGGACGGCTGGAAGAAAGTTAGGGGCGACCAAACCAAAACACTGCATCAGTCCTTGAAGTCACTTACTTCTAGTCTGAGTCATTTTGGTATATGCAGGCTACTTGGTTGGGGTGCGCGTGACTATCGTAACCAATGGTTGGAGACTGTGGGTGACATGGCTCAGAATCGGTCACAATGGAGTCGGTGTATACACTCTTTGTCTTCCCTTAAACCGTGAGATTAAAATTGGTTCATATCTTTCTTTCTACGAACTAATTCTTTCTTGCTGTACTATATCCTTATTGCAATCTTTCTTTTATATATTACCACCTCTGAATTAGCTACTTTTATGAATCCGGTGTCCATCTTGTTGTGTTAATGAGGTATGGCAACTTGGACCGATGCATAAATGTGCCTGGTCCTACGTTGTAGCTGGCTGACTGACTGACCCACCAATGATAGCAATGACGACATTAAAGATCAATTCTATGAGAGACTGCAATCAATCATGGCGAAGTGCCCAAGAAAAGACCTCACCATTCTGATTGGAGATCTTAACGCCAAAGTCGGAATAGACAACACCGGATGTGAAGATATCATTGGACGACATGAACTGGGAGAGAGAAACGAAAATGGAGAAAGATTTGCAAATCTATGTTCATTCAACAAATTGGTCATAAGCTGCACAATGTTTCCACACATACATACACAAAGCTACATGGATCTCACCGGACCACACCACAGAGAACCAGATAGATCATATTTACATCAATAAAAAGTTCCGAAGGACAGTGAAAGATATGAGAACCAGGAGAGGAGCTGATATAGCTTCAGATCACCACCTAGTTGTGGCCAATTTAAAACTGAAGCCAAAGGGGAACTGGACAAATGGACGAACAGCACTACAAAGGTTCAATACAGCCTTCTTTCGAGATACTAACAAATTCAACGAATTCAATATAGCTCTTAACAACAAGTCCCAAGCCTTACAGGATCTACTGAAGGAAGAAGAAACTACTATAGAGGACAACTGGAAAGGTATCAAAGAAGCATTAACTTTAACGCGTCAAGAGGTTCTGGGCATCAAGAAGCATCATCATAAGGAATGGATCTCTATAGAAACACTGGACAAGATCAAAGAAAGGAAGAACAAGAAGACAGCAATTAACAACAGCCGAACACGAGCAGAGAAAGTCCAAGCACAAGCTTGGTACATAGAAGTAAACAAGCAAGTGAAGAAGAGCATTAGAGCCGACAAGCAGAAATACGTGAAAGAACTAGCAACGACGGTGGAAAAAGCTGCAAGAGAAGGAAATATGAAACAGCTTCACGATACAACGAAGAAACTATCAGGGAAATATGGTAAACCATAGAGACCGGTCAAGGACAAAGGAGGCAGGCCAATCACCGGAATTCAATGACAGCGGAACAGATGGATGGAGTACTTCGAGGGACTCCTGAATAGGCCGACTCCAATGAATCCACCGGACATCGAAGCAACACACAGATCTTCCTATAGATCTCACTCCAACAACGACGGAAAAAATCAGAATGGTCATCAGACAAATCAAGAGCGGGAAAGCAGCAGGACCCGACAATATACCAGCTAAAGAATTGAAGTCAGACATCGAAGTAACTACAAGCATGCTTCACCTTCTACTCAAAAAGATTTGGGAGGAGGAACAAGTGCCGACGGATTGGCAAAAAGGACACCTCATCAAGATTCTAAAGAAAGATCTGAGCAAATGTGAAAACTAGAGAGGCATACGACGAACTACAGCGAAAAATCGTGCATGGAGAATAGCTGACAGTTGCATTCCAAGCGAGGACCTGAGTTAGACAAGACTGCTTACTCTCCCCCTTCCTCTTTCTTCTGGTGACTGACTGGATTATGAAGACCTCGACATCTGAGGGAAAACACGGAATACAATGGATAGCTCAGAACCAATTAAACGATTTAGACTTCGCAGATGACCTAGCCCTCCTATCGCATACACACGAACAAATACAGATAAAGACAGCCAGTGTAGCAGCAGTCTAAGCATCAATAGGCCTCAACATACACAAAGGGGAATCCAAGGTCCTCAAATACAACACGGAAAACACCAATACAATCACTCTTGATGGCGGAACTCTGGAAGATGTAGAATCCTTGACATAACTAGGAAGCATTATCGATGAGCAAGAAGGTTCAGATGCAGACGTTAAGACGGGGATTGGCAAAACAAGGGCTGCATTCCTTTAATTGAAGAACATATGGAACTCAAAACAACTTTCAACCAATATCAAAGTCAGAATGTTCAATACGAACGTCAAGGCAGTTCTACTGTACGGAGCTGAAACTTGGAGAACTACAACAACAACCATCAATAAGGTACAAGTATTTATAAATAGCTGTCTTCGCAAGATACTCAACATCCATTGGCCGGATACCATCAGCAACAGCCTTCTGTGGGAGAGAACAAACCAGCTTCCAACTGAAGAGGAAATTAGGAAAAGACGATGGAAATGGATAGGACATTCATTACGGAAATCACCAAACTGCATCATGAGACAAGCACTAACTTGCAATCCTGAAGGGAAGAGGAAAAGGGGAAGGCCGAAGAACACATTACGTCGGGAAATAAAATCAGATATGAAAAGGATGAATAACACTGGAAAGAGCTGGGAAGAATAGCCCAGGACAGGGTTGGATGTAGAATGCTTGTGTGAGGCCTATGCTCCTTCACGAGGAGTTACAGGAGTAAGTAAAGTAATTTTAGCATTTACTAAATGGATCCCTAAAAATGGTAAAAATTCAATATATGGTACTCTAGGAAAGATTAATGGTGGTAACAAAGTGGATATTATAGATTTCTATTTGGACTTCGACAGTGTTTTCATTTCTGAATGTACGGGCTTTCAATGTAACGGGATTCGAGCTTTGATTATTGGAAAAACGTCAACTCGTCATATATATACAATTATTGATTTCTGAGCCGAATTATTTTACTTATTTAAATAGATCTAATGAGTAATGTCGATAGAAATAATAATTATATCATTTAATAGTAAGATCTAACAATAATGTCTACAGTTCACTTAGTTTCGAGCATTTAGTATTTAAAACAGATACGCTGTTTTACTGAACATCAAACATTTGTTGGTAGGTCATTTTAAAGTTAAATTTTCTACCTAACTGCCATAAAGTATCTAACATGAAACTAGCATCAATTGTATTCACATAAAACCCTGATGATTGATGAATCATCAATTTTTTGTAGTGTGCACACAGTTTATACAAATACGATAGTAGTCATACCCAACGATTTGGAATATTTATGCCAATAAGAATTATACTAAACTTATACTGAATACAATTAATTTATTCTACTATCTACAAAGTTTATTTTTCAAGTGGTTTGTTTATAGAATTTCTTCAAACTGAATAAATTTACCTCAATTGAACACTTGTGGTTTGTTTAACCAAAAGATCAACAATCGACGTAGACAATTTGACACATAAGTCCGGCTTTAGTCGTTTAATGGCTATGGCTTCGGCGAATTTGAGGAGAGCGGTATTCGACTGTCAACTGCTGATGCTGAATGATTTTAGTCTATTAACTTGATGTCCTGTGTCACAGAGATGATTGCAATAGCACTGCTAGAAGCCCTAAATGTCATTGACCTGAGGTCATAGCTATTAAATGACTAATGCCGAACTAATGTTGCAAGTCAATCCTTACCACGGTGATCTTTTCGTTATTTTATCACATCATTTTAGTAACTTTCTTCTCTCTCTCTCCCATTTTATTTGCATTACTCGTTTCGAATTTATAGCCTTATTATTTGTCTTTTAACCGACTAATCTCAACTCATGTTATTCTTAATTGCTATTAATTTATGTTCAACTACTTCATTGTATAGCCAATTAATTATTTGTTACTATGTCTAATGATTCGGAATTATCCCTCACATATTATATTTATTTACAGCACTCATTGTCTTCACACTCAATACTTTACCATTATGATAGAAATCCATTCTTACTGTTATAAGTATGTAAACTTTACAATAATTTCGATTTTAAATATTATAGGTCGCAGGCAGATGATGAGAACCTAACGAAATAAAATGAATTCATGTTATTCTGTCAAATTCTTCTTTCTTGCTCTTTTCAAGATAATAAAGGGAACTAAATTTATGCTTTTATTGAGGACAATTCATTAGATTACTCTATGAACAGTTTTGTTACAAGTCAATGACGGACAACTGTAGAACCAGGTGCGTCATTTATTTTGCTGAACCCCCCCCCAAAAAAAACAATTATCATCTACTGATCTCCAGCTCAATATTTTTACTTCATTACGAGTGTAAAACTCGTCACTGATACTCTTCACAAGAACGCTACCAACGTTCTTCACCAAGTTAATTTTTCCAAGTCCTAATAAATTATATTACTGAACACTGAGAATCATATTTAGACTACACAATAAACTGTGAAACATTAAAAAGATGAGAGAGTAACAACCATGTCATTACTGCTTGGAAACGAGCATTTGGAGAAGTATGTAGTGTATAATGTTTACAAGATATTCATCTATATATTAGAAACCACAAACAAAAACATCTCATTGCGTTCTATAAACTATGACATGTGAGTAAATCAAGTAACACAACTAGTTGAGCACTGATTAAATTGACCTGTTGTTTATATATATAAAACGAAAATAGAAACAGAAGAAAAACGATTAACCGAGAAATAATTTCTAGTAACAAAGATAGCAATAACAACTTTTGTAAGTAACAGAATAGAATATCAAGTAGTTCAATTGATTCATGCAAAAACAAAAATATTATGTAAACGGATTACCTAGAATATTAAAATTTATGTCAACTAATTTTTTTCACTTAATGAACAAACCCACATAAGACTACTTTAGAAGATTCCTTTATTCTTAAGGTGTGTATGTGAGTATTTTTAAAATGAAAACAAAAAAAACAGGTTTGAGTTCAGGAGAAAAAGTGGGGTCAGTTTATATTCAGGAGAAACTCTGGGAAAGGTAGTAGCTGCAAAATCTGACATATATATTAAACAAAGCATAAACTGATTGAGTATATCAATAGGAAACAGTAAGAAAACCAGTAGTTCCATGAAATAACTAAATTAAATGAAGTAAACAGAAAGAAAAAAAACATACATCTCAGTATAGATCACAGTATTGACATACGCATATAAGTATACTTATTTTCATAGGTAAGCACAAAACATTTGACAATTGGAGAATGTTGTATTACTAGCAGTGTATAAGTAACATATAGCTGATGATTTCCTATTGATACAATGTATACGGTAAATAAAACGATGTCTACGAGCAAATATATAGGAAAGCACATAGGTATATGGTATAAACAGTCAATCAGAATTAGTTTCTGTTAAATTTATCAAACAATCAGAGTGAAATAATAATAAAAATATATATTTGACTAGTTTCGCTGAGAGTATTTTTAGAGAAGAAAAAGGAAATAGGCTAAATTAATTAAACGTGGTGCATATACAAATGAATTTTGATTACTTCTAAGTCAGTTGACTGTTAGTTATAGATGAACGTGAAGATTGAATAGCATTCACGTTTCCATTCTGTTGTGATACTTTTTCCTTATTATTGGATTGGGATAGGGCAGCAGCGATAATCATAATTGCAACACATGTCGGACGTGTAGAATGAATGGATGAAATACTGTCTGGTTTGAAGTCGATTGATACTTCATGTTCTTGAGGTTTTGATGAATTCCAATCAAGTGGATATAACGTAGTTACAAACAGCATTCGATTTAATGCCCTCTGGTTATATGTTTGATCAAGACAAACGCGTTCTATAACACAAGGCCCATCATCATCCATCCAAACATCGTAACAAGCAGGAGGTGCTATTCGACCATGAACTAAAATCAAGATGGGTGCAACTACACGACTTGGTTGTAACTTTTGATTGCTTAATTCATTTGGCCAAGAAAATTTTACTGAAGCAGAACACTGACGTACGCTTATCCACTGACAAGGTGACACTAATCCAACTTGGACAAGATCAGCCCGAGTAAGCCACGTTCGTACTAAATTAGTGACACTCACTGATAAACGGGCATGGTGCGCCACAATAAGTTCATGAAGTCTGCGTAAACTATCTACAGACGGTAAAGCGTTACTGGATTTAGAAATGTTGCTATCCATATTATTTAACTGAGAAGAGTCATAGTGATTTCCCATGCTTGAACTTATAAGTGCATTAAAAATGTGGGATTTAGGTAAGCTTGGGACATTGAGTCCATTAGGTGGGGAAGGTGAAGGAACGGGAGGAAATTGACTATCCATACTGTGTAGTTTATCTTGAAGTTCTGCAAGAGCAAGATATGACTTATTTATTTGACGATAGTTAATTTTTGGATTTTGTTGTGAAGACAAATGGGCATTTAATAACTTCATGATCAGATTAAGGGCAGTTGTCCCGGGTTCTACCTGCAAAGTTGTACACAGAATTTTTATTCACAATATAATAATGAAAATTTACAACACAGTAACAGATAGAAAAGTAAAGTAAGCTGTAGAAAAAATAACAATGGCACTCGAAATAAAACCCAAAGTTTATTATATTTTCTACTGATTATTAACAGTAATAACAGAATTCGAAAGAGTAAGATGACAGAAACCCAAACTACTAATATAAAAATCAGGATGAAACGTTTCCTATTCCCAAATCGTCATACTGATAGATCCAAAGTTGACATGAAACTTAAGCTGTGATCGAATTCAAATCAGTGCCATTTTGATTTATGATTTTGTACATTCACTATTTTGAGTACTTTATCATTATATATTTTTTTATTTCCAGGTTTAATGATAACCTTCTTAATCGTTTGAGTAATCGTTTTCTTCTTGACCTCAATTTTTGCTGCTAAGAAAAGTGGTCAACTAGATTTTATGAGGCTATGCATAATTTTTGCGGTACGTGTATCGACGTGCATTTCAGGTTAGCCTAAGCTCTCTCTTTGATGACTTAACTAACATTCCCCATTTCATACATCTAGGAGTTGTTTCGAGACTACGATTTCAAAACTAAATCCTTCGAGAACAAAACAGGAGTCATAAAGTATATATATATGCATGCTTAGCAAACAGGTGTTTAGTAGAACATTGATTATTATTCTACAAACTAATTCTTTCTTGCTGTACTATATCCTTATTGCAATCTTTCTTTTATATATTACCACCTCTGAATTAACTACTTTTATGAATCCGGTGTCCATCTTGTTGTGTTAATGAGGTATGGCAACTTGGACCGATGCATATATGTGCCTGGTCCTACGTTGTAGCTGACTGACTGACTGACACCTTAGCATGGCGTATAAGTGATGTTAAGAAAACTTGAATTGCGGTAGGGTCTAACCCAATTACTCTGTAATCAATGGTTTTACGGGTATGTCTTGGTACATTTTACAAACTAATTGAAACTAATAACGCATACCGTCGACTGAAACAAACTAATGAGACTCATTGACCATACCAATCTACCAAGTACTTTTGAGGGTTACCAATGTTGTCAAAGGATACTAGCTACCAACTTATACTTAAGTGAATGAAGTGGGTCTTAATGAATCAATTAACGGCTGGAAGCCGAGTATTTAAACCATTTCTATAATCTCCAAGAAAAGATGGGTGGAAAAGTAGTTGAAGTCAGGTAGATAAGCTCGATCAGCAATCGTGAACGGTGATGAGTCAGTAAGCTAGTGATATTAGAGAAGTAACGTGATCAGTTTGTATATATTGGCTAATTGAATTTTTTTTGACAAGTAGACGTCCGAAAGTGTTAACCAAAGTAGTACTAAGATAATTTAGTGATGTACTTTTAAAACAGGTGGCCTAAATGATAAAAAAATGCTGTTAAAGGGGATTCAATTGATCTCTTGCAGCAATTGGACTGTATTTTATTTCATCAAGATCTGAAATGGAATTAAACCTACAGCTCCAAGTGACAAGCTTAAAATCAACAATAATTAAACCAACCGTTTATGCAGAATATAAGGGACGTAATAAGTATTAAAATATTGACTATTCTGATTAATTAGACACTGGATTATATATTATTATTTGAACTGAATAAATTTGAACTATAATCATCATATTCCTCTAACGATCAACCTTCTGTATGTTGTTACGAAAAGGGACAAAAGGAGTCAAGAAATAGTTGTGAGACCATACGCCATATTAGTCAGCCATAAGTCTTAACAAACCTCCTTGAAACTAGTAAAATGCTGAATAGGTTTCAAATAAGTGAAACTGTAGACCTAACCAATGCATGAATACCTTAAAATAGACATACCTCGTAAAAGTTCGCTCCAGACAAAATAAGCATGTTAGCCATATCAACATTTCCTGCTGCTATCGCTAAACCAAGAGCTGATCGTTGTCGACGGTTGGGTTCAACACAATTAGGCTTAGCACCTGCATCAAGTAATGCTTGAGCAGCATGTAAACGACCCAAACAAACCGCTAAAGCTAATAATGGCCATTTAGAATTAGGTTCAATAACCTTATTAGGATCCAATCCAGAAGTAAGCAGTCGGTCTAAAACTAAGGGTCTACCTGCGCCCCCAGTGATACATGCCAATAACGCATCCTCTTTGAAACGAATATCTTCCTCTAAATCCGGTTTGTTATCACTTTTGCGAGATTCAGACGTCTTTTCTGGTGACAACGAATAAGTACTGCTTTTTTGAGCTTGAGAGCTTTCTGAAAACAAGTTCCTCGAGGGCATAGTGGCGATAAGACTCCATCTTTGGTTATTGATAGCATTTAGGAATTCACCGGGTGTCTGAATGGAGGTTAAGTGATTATAGACACATAAGTGCGGTAGACATCTAAGCTCATGATGAAAGTCGGTTGGCTGTTCACTATGGGTTATTTCATCTTCATTTGAAATATGAGATAGAATTAAATTAAAATAAATATTTACAAGTGTGCGTAGTGATGAAACGTTCCGTTCATATAGTTTATCATACAGGTTGTGGGAATTTCCTGGTTGTTCCACAACATTAAAATAAGAGGTACTTTCTCTCTCAAACGCCCGGAGTGGTTTATTATCTAATGGCTAATAAACAAAAAGAAAAGAAAACTGTTTTAATTCAAGTTAGAAATGAGTGCTGGCGTAAAATGAACCCGTAAACAACAGATAAATAGTTTTTTCTCATAATTTTTATGACTAGTGATCAAAACAAAAAATGTACAGAGCTTAGCGTTATAAAGTACATGTTTATTTTATATACAAAACGGGTTTGGGTTAAACTGTATGTTTTTAATTTACGTTGTTTAGTTAAGATTTTTCAGTCTAAGATTCAAACTAACACTTTCTAAGGAACTTATTGATACATTTAAAATCAAACCACCAAATTCAGGAACAAATATATTCGTTGAAAATTCGTAGTACAGTTGAATCGACGCCAACAGCTAATGCATATCATTGGAGCACAACCCAAAAATAAACATTTGTATACACCAAACTTAATTATTAGTGATTAAATTTCACAGTTAAATTTAACTAAAGTGATTATTTCTACGGCTTATAGTGTCTTTCATTCAGTATAAAAAATTTAGAACCTATGAATTATTGATTCCAAATGATTCATCTCTAATCCAATTTAGAGAAACCTTATGCAAAATACACAATAGACTCACATGTGAAGATATTGGAGACAATCCAATATCTACTTTGGATATGGAATCACAGAGATAAAGGTTACAAGATATCCCTTTTGAAGAATTTGGATGGAATTCTGACTGAACAGCCTTACTATCAAACTTCGAAATATTTGACTGATGCGGTGGAGAAACATTTGTGGTAACTAGATTTTTGGTTATTTCAGGATGATAATGTTCAGAACCTCCTGCAGGAAACATGGGCTGGCTCTGCTCATCATTAGGAAGTGTGCAGCTGAAGTCTCGAAGGGATTCGTTGGTACCGAAACATGAAAATGATGGTGATACTGGGTCACGTTTCGGAGAACATGTTGAAAAATGCTCCATAGAAGTATCACATTCTAATTCTATCTCCCCTTGAAGGCTGCCATTTCGACTCTGAGTAGATTCATTGCTTACGGAGTTGCTAGCAGACTCAGCAGCGCAGCGCTTGCGGGTTTTAACACGTGAATAAAGATCATTCGAACACAGGTCGATTTTTCCATCTCGAATATCGTCGAAATATTTTGTCTTTGAAGCAACTAACTGATGTTTTGGAACATATTCATATCTCCCGCCAGTGCGTGACTTCGTAAAATGCTTACGTTTCATGGATTTATTCAACTGTCGCTCTTCACTAGAGCCTCTCAAGGGATTATGTGAGTTTTGAAGTACTGAACATGGTGTAGCAGGAGGCGTTGGGACGGAAGCTGGAGAGTTTTCGAAAACTGTGTGGCAATTTTTATGTATATCTAAGTTCTTTGAAATTCTACTTTTTGAGCCACTATGGAACTCGGAAATTATATCTAATACATTAGTGAGATTTTTTTCTGGTTCCCAACTATCTGCTTCGGGTGGAAATCCCTCCCAACGCACTTTGTAGTATTTCTGTCCTTTAATAATTCTTTCATCGAGAATACTCTGAACAATGTATACTTTCTCCGAGTTTGTGTCAGAGCTTTCAAGATTAGAATTTCTTTTGTTGGAAGATTTAGAACTTTTCAAACTTAGATAACGTCTCTGACGGCGCCTGCAAGCCCGTAATTGTTTTCGGATCTGTGTGTCACCAACGGATGCCATTCATTACCCAAAGACATAACCTGAAAGTAAAGATATTGATTATTTGAGTAGAAAAATTTACAGTTTATGTGTTCCAGGCAAGACATACAGTTTTTTACCAATTTAAGCTTTTGAGTCTGCAACCCTTAATTTTTAACTGGATCAATGAGTTGAAAATTGGTTTGTTCACGTTAGAACATGGTCCATTATTATGTCAAAATTACATTAAAACCAGACTGATAACACATGATAATTTGAAGTACAAAAGACCTGTTGTACACTTACAGAAAAACTTCACAACTCTCAACTCGTGACAGAGTAATTTTAGAGTGTGGCAATAGAAATAATTCGTCAATAGATTCAGACTATATTTTACCGGGATACAAATCCAGGTGATAAGTTATAACCAATGAAGCTTAATGTATGTAAAAAATCATCTTTGTTTACTAGAACCTCTCTCCAACAGATTTAAGACTATTGTTCAGACAATAATGATAATAACTAACACATCAAAACGAAGAAAGATTAAACGGTATGAAATGGCACATATATTTAGGAAAAAAGCAATGCTTTTACACTTTGGAGTACAAAATATGTAATATTAACAAATGCAAGAAAACATAAAAACAAAAAACTATGGATGAATAAAGCAAATAGGTTTACTTTCTATGAACACTTACTAAGAACAAATTACTGGGATAAAGAAAACCTTACAATGAAAGCCTATGATGACTCGTATCATTATGCAATACGTGTAGTTGTGTTATTCAAAGTAATGGACTATAAAGATTTAGAAGCCATAATAAACAGCGACCTCGAAACTATGAACAACTTCAAGGCTGCTGCTGCCGAAGGCTTCAAAATATTATAGGTTATTCTTAGGTCTTTCAGTAATTGGACGAAGGAATGTTTAAAGTATTATACCTGACTTTCGTGAGCCTGCATTTGGAATATAGGATTCGAGCAGTGAGTCCTTTTTCAAGTATGAGACGGATATGTTGGAACGAGTCCAACAACGAAGGACTAAAAATCGTAAAAGGTCTCTCAGACCTATCTTATGAAGACAGATTGCGACACCTCAACCTATTTCAATTATCTTACCGCAGATTATGGGGTTAACCAATATTGGTTTATCGTATGCTGAACAACAACATTGATATTAATATGTCTATTCTTGTCCTTCCGTCTAGGACTGATTATTTGAGAGGGCATTCTAAGAAAGTTCGAAAACAGAGACCAAGTAGTCTACGCTAAAGTTTCGTTTCTCTTACCGAGTAGCGAAGTACTAGAATTCTCCACCAAAACACATGATATCAGCACCTTCTGTTGGTATATTCAGAACGAGACAGTGTTACGAGTTGCAAGGATTGATATAGGTCGATAGACCTCCTGCACTTGTTACTGAAGACTGAAAGTATCGTATGTTGTCGATCACGCAAGACACAGCAGGAAATTTAGTGCAAATAGTGTTTCGAATGTTGACGACTGCTAATATCTAAAAGAACTCATAACAACTTGGAATACGGTCAGACTTTTGATGTATCTTCCACAGACTCTATAAGGTCAATATGTATGTACATAGCTCACCGTGCCCAATACATTGATTCGAAGTAAAATAAACGACAAGATCCACACAATTGGTAGGGTTTCGACATACACAAGTATGTACATATATGTGTCGATATGTCACAAAAGTATTTTTACGTATAACGATCTCAAAAATGTTTTTTTTCTAAAAACATCAGAAAGCAAACCAATCGTGATGGAAAATTCTGGAGAAAAGAAATAACTACTTAGACATTGTATTTTCAAAAGAAGACGGTGGCGGTACCCCTGAGTATTATTGTACATGTAATCAATCAAATTAAAAGGATGCTACGATATAGCATCACATTCATATGATTCAAAATGATGTTGAAAGTGTCAATTAAACTATAACTATGAGCAGTAAACTATAATCAACACACTTACTTCCAGAAATATAGGTTTCAGCACAGAAACCAAAAAAACGAACAGTTTACGAAAACGCCGCTAGTGACATTACCGATTAAAAGAGAGAGACATGGTAACTTATATTATGTTCAAGTTTACAGCAGCAATAAAATTAGGGATTTTCCGTTTTGTTGTGATTAATTCTACTATCATCGTTATGACAGCTCATGCGCACTTCAGGTTATAAACTGGAAATATATCACATGCATTTATATACAGTTTCACTCTAGGAACATGATAGGGTCATCACTAATTAGAGTCGTTACTCGTTCTCAAAACACATGAAGTCGTTAAATGCAATGACTCTTGTGCTATGACTAATGATTCTCAGTTGACATGCGTCGAAATGTTGAGAATCATTAAGGGACAGATGCTTCTAGAACCTTCCAAGCCAGTCACACAAAACCACTTGAAGGAAAAGTCTGGATTCTCCTGAGCGAAAAATGAGATTTCTCCTCAATTAGAACTGCCTTTGAAATAAGGTATTTTTACCTAGGATCAGTGAACATGTTTCAGCGTATCTCACAAGTGGAATTATATACCGTAATACGCAAGTGCATTTAAATAAAGGAAGTTTCTGATCACTGATTACGACAGCTACTCGTATCACAACCAAGTAGTCAAGTCCAATGGCGATGTTATAAAGGAATCTATGATGAAATAATAGTTATCTACGGATATTTTTTATTTTTGAGAGCCACTTTCAATAACTAATGACGAACTGAGCGGACTGCTGCTAATTAAGCTCGCACTTTTATTGTCAGACAGCCATCCTACCTACGCCACATGTGACACAATTCAGCTAAGAAAATTAGGCTCTCTTAATTCGTACTAAGATTTTGTCAAACACTGATTGAAGCTGATGAAACTTCATGAGTAAGTACAATGTTTGCCGTGCTCATCTACTTCACTCCTTGTCATTTGTTCAAGCCTTGATACAAACCAACAATGAAGCAGAGTTTTAGATTTGGAGAGAGAAAGCTCACTACAAACACACAAGCTTTGTTTCTCACGGCAATTAGGCGACTGTAGATTCCTTGAGAATTGAAATCATAGTTTTCACCGGTCATCAGAGCTGCTTTCAGTACTCATCAAAGTAGGAAGAAACTTAACGCACTTCTAATGTTATGCAATGCATCTACAGGAAAGTCATTTTGTGTCAAATAAACATTTAATTTTGTTGTTTTTCTACAAGTGGTTTGAAAATAGATCTTCAAGAAGACCGTCTTCCCTCTCATAAATTCCATTTAAATTAATCCATTCATTTTACTATTTCTGTCAACTTCAGTAGTTCTACTCTCTGAACTAAGTTATCTAACATCAAAGCGCATTAAACTCAGTCATGGTGCCACTCAATTCGACACCATTGCCTTGAAAACTGGAAAGGTGGTTGTTGCTTTCTTTAAGCCTAGTCGAAAAACTTTTGACATGCACCTAGTTGTACTTTGAAGTCAGAAACATTTTGTGATTATTTTCAGTTTATAGACGCCAGCTGCACTTTGTATACGAGCATATAATCTGTGTCACAGTACATTGATTTTTCAAACCCTTCAGACAGGGTGAAACTAAATGGAAGACGGAATTTTATTAAGGACACCGCTGAGCAATCCGTCGATTCCATACTGCCGTTTGCCAGATAAGAGAAAAGGCTTTTACGTCCTCCTCCTGGTTAAAGTCTAATAGTCGTAAAAATGTTCCAGGTATCCACATTTTGGCAACGCCTTTACAAGTAACAGCTTTGTAATTGAAGTGTACCAACAAAGTCAAATCAGAAGTCAGAGATGAGGGGGTTGGAATATATATTTGGAAAGCTATCGATATATCGAAATGTGTTTGGTCTAAACTGGCTCACAGTTGTAATGGGTGAGCAGCACGGCGTACCCATTCATGATCTGGTACAGGTGTGTGATGGAGCGTTTTCAGCTAGGGTGTGCCCAGTAAAACCAATGAGGTCAGTACCAATATCAAAGACTTACAGAACTATTTATTTTGGGGATTAGTTTGCCCCAACATTCGAAATCACTGGCGTGAACCCTAGTGATTTGAACAATTTTTTCCTTTAGACAATATAGGTAAACTGACATCTGACAACGTGTCATGCAACGAATGTACCCTGGGATCCAAACGGGACGTAATAGCTTTTCAAACTCGTCTGATACATTCTTTGGAAAGTAAGCGTTTTGCGTAGTCCTACGAAGTAAAGTGTAAGTCTCGCGCTGAATACACTGGATCAGCGCTCTTAAGACATACATCGCACACACAACCAGGTTACTAAGCCACTAGTTATGGAATTCCAACCTAGTTATTCACGTAGAGATAAGCCCCCCTCTCTGGCTCCCTCTCTAATTATTTCCATGGTAAACTAAGAGTTCTTGAGTTAAAAACTACCAGGAACAAAGAGATTAAGAGACTATTGAGCCTACGCAGATCTGGTAGCCAACGAGGAATTTGGTCTTAATAACTATCAGTTCTGCTTGGCTGATCATCTTCCCCGCTCTCAGTGTTTAAATAGATCATAGGAAAGATTGATCGTGAGTCGCACTCAAAAGCTCTTCTCAATAAGTCTATCTCACTCGCAACTAAACATGGATTTCTTCCAAGGAGGTCTTACAATAAATACTTATTGACCGCCTGGAACTAGTGAATCTTTTTCGTGGGACGCAGTAATATGTGAGAATAGGCCCTCTGTTATTCTTCATTCTGAAGCCGTTCATCGAATTCGTTTGTAGAAACTAAACTATGTGCTACCAGTGTGTGCACGATTAATTGGCTCCAGGATTTTCTCATTGGTGGAGGTCACAATCTGTTAGGGATCACTCTGTCTGAATAGCTTACAGTATAAACCGAAGCACCACAAAGCTTTATCGTTGAAGTACTCTTACTGTTCATTGACGAATTACCTCCTAATGTGAATTCTAGAAATAAGTGGATAACACCGAAACTTGAAAGGATATGCAAGATCTCTTTGACATTTCGATTTTTTTATATTTTAATATTTTGAACTATGGAAAGCTTCCTTCCTGTTAACGGTATCTGCAAATGAAATGTTAATCTTTATCGGTAGTGACCCATATACCTCTTACTTTATGGACACTTTCAGCAGTCCCTTCCCAACATAGATGAGAATATAGGCAACACTCTAAATGTCGCTTCTAATTGAAACTCTTGAGAAAATAAAGCGTACTACATTCTGAGTTTTCTTTCCAGAATATGAAGTTCCACAAATTCGAATTCCTCGGCTGTGAAGTAGGGCTGAACGAAGAGAGATGTGGTGATGATTAAATATGTGGCTCATGATCCTCTTGCACCTAGGATCATTTATGCGGTTTGGTACCAAGCTAAGTATTAAAGGATATCCGTTCTATAAGGAACGAAAAGCAGCTCCCACAGTAATTTTAGCAAGCTTTTTCTTGGTTCGAATCAGTAAGTTGTTGAATGGCCTACGACGGGGAGTCATAACTCCACGTCCCTCTGGACCTTTCAAAATTAGGTCAGACGCTTACGTTGACTATATATGTACTGGGGGAGATCACATGTTCTAATGCTCCATGACTAATACAGACTGTTGAGGTTCATAAATATTGAGAGACAACTTAGGACTACAGTCTCTGAAATCGAGCCGAGATTAACACTCGTCTCCGTAGACTACTGTATCTAAGTTATCTCATGGACCCGCCCTAGGTCATTACTTGAGATTCACTTTATTCGTACTTGACATTTAGCCCGTCTTTCTGTATCCTCTTAGTTGTTTAGATCTAGCAGGAAGAAAAAGAAAGATGTCACGTTTAAAACCATTTCTTAGTATTCTATACATCAAAATCAGATCATCTTTTAATTTATGATGGGACACAGTAAAAATATCTCACTTTCCGAGTCCACCAGTACACGGAAAACTTCGGAATTCCAGTATTACACGAGTATTTTTTTACCTCTGTATCTAAGCCACCTTGAGTATGATTTAGTGAACATGCCTGTGTCCAACGTTGTGAATATATATATCTAAAATTCTTGCGATACTGAACCCCTTAGCTACGACTGCACAGCGGCGAGGCGTGGTCCTAAGACTTTGGCTCACTGTTAGCCCAAGGTCATTGTGAGACAGGACTATGGGAATCAGTACTTCACCAAACCTCTAGCTATTTGTCTATGTATCTTCAGTATGAATGCAGGCACACTTGAACGCGTTGATAGACATTGAAGAGACTTTAAATCAACTAACCAGAACATCCAAATCAGCCTGAAGTGAGTGTGTGCCGGTATTTCCTCTTATTTCTCCTCAACTTTTAACATCATCAACACCAAGGACTTAACAATGCTCGGGAACTCATTTGCACATATCATAGAAAGTAGAGGACCTAAAACAGAGCATCGCGATATTCCGTTAAGTACTGGTTTCCGTGAGAAGCATTTGGAAATTATCCTTACAGTATGTACACGACCCACCAAGAAATCCTTGATCCACCTTCCAGCTTCTAGAGTGGTCTCTTTTTTGGCACCTTATCAAATGCTTTGCCGGTCTATGTAGACAACATCCACTGATTTTCCATTATTTAGCGACTCTATCCATCTCTCTCTCGTCTTAAAAAGGTTTGTTCTGCAAAACAATTATTTTAGATCAACTCGTAATTTTTATCGTTTTTGTTAAGCCGAGGTTGATCAACCTACTTACTCCTGTTACTCCTCGTGAAGGAGCATAGGCCGCACACAAGCATTCTACATCCAACCCTGTCCTGGGCTATTCTTCCCAGCTCTTTCCAGTGTTATTCATCCTTTTCATATCTGATTTTATTTCCCGACGTAATGTGTTCTTCGGCCTTCCCCTTTTCCGCTTCCCTTCAGGATTGCAAGTTAGTGCTTGTCTCATGATGCAGTTTGGTGATTTCCGTAATGAATGTCCTATCCATTTCCATCGTCTTTTCCTAATTTCCTCTTCAGTTGGAAGCTGGTTTGTTCTCTCTCACAGAAGGCTGTTGCTGATTGTATCCGGCCAATGGATGTTGAGTATCTTGCGTAGACAGCTATTTATAAATACTTGTACCTTCTTGATGGTTGT